AGTATGGTTAACAGTGTAAGTGAGGTGATTTGCACAGGCAATTAAAATTTGCTTACACTGGAAAAGAAGCTGGTGACATGGTTTGGATGTGGTCCCCAGTATTACTGCTTTGGGTGCTGTCCCAAGTATTAATGTCATCACGCCCATCTCCTAAGGCCAGACATCTGCTGTGTTGACCAGGTTTTCAGTGTGACCTATACACCCGACAAGATGTGGCCCTCCCCGGCCCTGGACTCCCAGTCGTCGGTGTCCAGCGACGACGAGCAGATGAACAGCAGCTCGTGGGAGCCGTCCGGCAGCGAGCCGGAGCCAGAGCCGGAGTCAGAGTCCGAGGCGGCGCCGGTGCCAAAGCCGAAGTCGTTCCAGATCCGGCCGCTATTCACAGCCGAGGAGGAGCGCGACATGGTGACGTGGCTGACGCGGTGCGCCGCCCAAGGCTTGGCCATCAGCCGGGCGCAGTTCATCGAGGAGGTGCAGCGTATCGTGCTGCTGGAGCAGCGCGGCGTGCAGAGGTCAGTGGGCGACGGACCAACTCGGCAACTCTGCAGCAAGCCGGCGCTTTCCGCCATTGGAGTGCGTACCGTCTTAAAACACACTGTTGCCTGCTAGGATGACTGCTGTTCGCGGCCAAACCTTTCTCAGCACCAGATGTACCAAATATGTGGCGGAAATCATGGGCCTTCAACTGTCACCAAATAAGCAATGACTCGCGCAGTCATGCTGCCTTCGCGCTGGATCGTTCGTTTCTTCGAATGTTTTCACCCTGGTCTGTGTTACATTGAATCGTTTCGCGCCCGTCCGATTCGATGCGCCGTTCACTGTGCGACCTCCCGCGGGCATCCGTCAACGGTTCGAGAGGTGTGGGCGGCACGCGCCCGTCACCCCGCACGCCCCTGTCGACCCGACCCGACCCGACCCGACCCGACCCGACCCGACCCGACCCGCCTCGACCCGCCTCGACCCGCCTCGACCCGCCTCGACCCAGCCCGCCTCGACCCAACCCGACCCGACCCAACCCAACCCAACCCAACCCAACCCGACCCGACCCGACCCGACCCGACCCGACCCGACCCGCCTCGACCCGACCCGCCTCGACCCGCCTCGACCCGCCTCGACCCGCCTCGACCCGCTTCGACCCGCCTCGACCCAGCCCGCCTCGACCCAACCCGACCCGACCCGACCCGACCCGACCCGACCCGACCCGACCCGACCTGACCCGACCCAGCCCGCCTCTACCCAACCCGCCTCGACCCAACCCGACCCAACCCAACCCAACCCGACCCGACCACCCGACCCGACCCGACCCGACCCGACCCGACCCGACCCGACCCGACCCGACCCGACCTGACCCGACCCAGCCCGCCTCTACCCAACCCGCCTCGACCCAACCCGACCCAACCCAACCCAACCCGACCCGACCCGACCCGACCCGACCCGACCCGACCCGACCCGACCCGACCCGACCCGACCCGACCCGACCCGACCGGGCCATATCGCCTCGCCGGCAGCGAGAAGGGCGTGTCCGACTGGTTGGCGGCGTTCGAGTCGCGGTTCTCTGACGAGCTGCGCGCCTGCCGTCACGGGCCTCTGCTGACGGCCGGCGCGGCGCCAGTCCGCTCGCCGACGGCCTGGTACCGCTCGGTGAGCGCCGCGCTCGCCGCCCACCACCCGACCGTGGACTTCGCCGACCCGGAGCGCGTGTTCTGCCTGGGCGAGGTGAACCTGCGCCTGGACGTGGCCAGCGGGGCCGTGCTGGAGCTGCGGCCGGCCGGCGCGCCGTCGCCGCCGCCGGCCGGCCGCTCCGCTGACGCCCCCGATAACGTGGCGTGCGTGCTGGTGGTGTCGGCGGGCGGTGAGCAGGCGCCGCCCATGCTGGTCACGCCGGCCGGCGGTCTGGTGCGCGACGACATGAGCGGCGACGACTGCTTCCGACAGACGACAGCCGACGGTGAGTGGCGCCTGCGCTGGGACTGGGACCGCCTGGTACACCCGGCCACCCCCCCCCCCCCCCACACACACACTCTCAAATTTGGACACAGCGAGAGCGGGCCAGATCGCCGCCGAGATCTGTGCGCCTGATATTTGGTATGGTCACGCGCGCGCTTGATGAATGCAATGACGTGGGAGTCGGTGCACGGCGACAGCCTCGGCGCCGCCCTCAATCGTCGCCACGTGGCGCTCACGTGACGGGGCGCGCCGGCGCGTCGGCAGGCCGCGTCACGTCCTCGGCGCTGATGACGTACCTGGTCAAGTCGCTGGAGCCGTACCTGGCGTCGCGGGCCGTGGCGCGGCCCGTGCTGCTGTACGTGGACGGGCTGCGCCACCGCTGCGGCATGACGCTCTCCCAGTTCTGCGACGACGAGCAGATCGTGCTGGTGGGCCTGCCGCCGGCCGGCCAGGCGCGCAGCCCGGTGGGCGCCGCCATCGCCAGCCTGCTGGCGGCCAACTTCGAGCGGCTGGTGGCCGAGGCGCGGCTGGGCCGCCGCCGCGAGCCGACCGGCTGCTCCTCGGTCTCGCTCAGCCGCCTCGTGTCCGGCATCAGGCAGGCCACGCGCCGCGCCTGCAAGGAGACGATCGCGCAGGCGTTCACGTGAGTGGGGCCCGCTGTCTCAGAGGTACGGGGTTCGATTCCCCGCGGCGCCCACCCTTCCTGCCAGGGTGAGAGGCAGGCGACGCCATATAGCCTCAGCAGCTGAGTGCGTCGTAAAGCCCCCCCCCCTCCCCCCCACACACAGATGATGTGGGCGTGCAACGTCTGAGCAGACATGGGCCCCGATCCCTGTGGGCGATACAGCCTCATGAGGTCTTCGTTGGCTAGACTGCTGATGCGACGGTCCGTTTCGGGGATGAAGGCTCAAGCTACTCTTCTGCTTGTGTATCCGTTGTTGGTGTTTCATTTCCCGCTGAAGGGACGCGCGCCTTGAATGTGACATGTCCCTTTTTCAAGGTCAGTGATCTTCGTGTTGGTTGGAAAGTCCTGAAACTGAAAGTCTGGCCGTTTACGTATTTCCTCAAGTCCCGCCATTTGACCGAAGTTCATCTGTCTTCATCTGTATTAGTGGAGCCGGGTGTGCTCATTTTTTTAGTTGTCGTCGCTAGTACCCCATCTCTGCTACCCAGTCTGTGATTCTCTGCAACGAGCATTCACATATATCGAAGGCCCATGCTCTCCACGAGTAAAGATCGCTGCCACAGCTCTGTCAAAGCCTATTCCTGACGTCCTGTTCAGTGCCCTGACTCAATCCGCATAGCAACCTAAATAGCCGGCTATCTCAATGCGCTACAGCTCTCAGCCATCGCTGTGTAAGCGCCTGCCATAACCCACTTGACCTTGATGTTGGCCGTTTGATTATCAGCGCCATTTGGGAGTGTACTGGCACATGTTTGCACTGTTTGAGGGTCGTTCTGCCCCTCCCCCCTCCCCCTGTATCCGTGTGCGGGCCGTCTGCGCCGCGTGAGCGGCCGTGTCTCCCACCTGACCTCGCCCCGGCCGTCGCCAGCGCCAGCGGCCTGTTCCCGTGGGGCGAGGACGTGATAGCGGCCTGCGAGCCCGCCGCCGCCGCCACCGCCGCCGCCGAGCCGACCCAGAACGGGCACCGGTCGGCCACGAGCCCGGCTGCCGAGCTCACAGAGCCCGACAACAGCATCAGCACCGTCAAACGTGAGGCGGCGGCGTCCGGCGCCGAGAGTGTTGCGACTGGCCGGCTGGTATGGATTGCCGGATACTTTTGCGGGACGTGACGCCGTTTGGGATTTCAAACGACTGTAGGAGATTTCGTCTGCATGCACTTGTGCCAAATGTTGTGGGCGTTTGCACTTTCGTGAAAACGGCAGTGTTTGTGACGGCATGCCTCTCATATTTCTGAGCTCTTAGTGTTTTACGCCCGAGTCTTGTTGAAGTTAAGCTCGCAGCGCCTGTGAACACCGACCCGATGCGTCGTCCACCTGGCCGGCCCGAGGTGTGTCGATGAGCGCCGCCGCCGGCCCTGACTGAGCATCTGCCGGCCGGCCAGCGGCGGAGCTGCCCTCACCCGGAGACAGCAGCTCGGAGCCGGCCAGCTGGGACTCCGAGCCGGAGCCGGAACCGGAGCCAGAGCCGGAGCCGGAACCGGAGCCGGACGCACCTGAGCCGGAGCCGGTGGTGCTGCCGCAGGCTCGACTGCTTGAGTATCTGCGCGTGCTGGACGCGGCAGGCTCGGCGCTGCACGCGCAGCGGCAGCCGGACAGCGCGGCCGTTGTGGTGAGGGGGCTGTCCGGGCCAGGTCCGGGTACCTGACGGAGGGGGGGGGGGCTTTCTGTCCCCCGCGGGTGTCTGACGGTCGCCATCCGAGGCGGGCCGACTCCAGTGGTGAGGCGTACCCTGATCAATGGACTAACCCCACTGACGTCACCGGCCGGTCAGGTGACGTGAGCAAGAGCTGATAGCTCATGTAGCGACCTCACCCGGTCGACGTGTCCCGTGTTACGAACGCTCGCAATGTCTCGGGGCAAAGGGCGGTCGTGTCCATGCGACAGCGCTTGAGGACATTCAATTGCTTTGATAGTTGAACCATCCCGCAAGGTGTCCCTGACGCAGGTCGATTTTGTGTGCCAGACCAGAATGTATCGTTTCCTTTTTGTTGCGACCTAAATGAGTGCAGTTCTATTGCTCAAGTGACTGTCATCCAATGACAACGTAGTATGGGCTAATACATCAGTTAGTCGACTGTGGACCATCGCTGCTATGCCAGAGCGTTGTAAGTGGTTCGTGGCGCCCCCTCACGGTCGCAGCGCCGAATGATTTGGTTGGTCAGTTAATGAACAGAGCGCAGCCGTCGCCGCTGCTAGGTGGTCGCCTGTCGCTTGGTGTCGGCGCCCGGAGCTGGCGCGTGGTGATGTGCTGCTGGGGCCGGCAGATGGAGCTGCAGGACAAGCTGCGCGCCCTGCATGCGGCCAGCTCCGGCCTGCCCGTCGACACGACCGCCGCCGTCCCTTCCGGTCCGGTCGGCGACAGCGCCGGCGAGGGCGGCGCCGAGCCGGTACGTGCAGCGGCGCCCGTCCGCCGCGGCTGCCGGTTGCGCCCCCGTCCGCCGCCGCTGCCTGTGGCGCCCCCGTCCACCGCCGCTGCCGATGGTGCCCCCGTCCACCGCAGCTGCCGATGGTGCCCCCGTCCACCGCAGCTGCCGATGGTGCCCCCGTCCGTCGCCGCTGCCTGTGGCGCCCCCGTCCGCCTCCGCTGCCTGTGGCGCCCCGCCCGCCGCCGCTGCCTGCTCTGCCACCGCCGTTTGAGTGGCACATGACGGCTCTATGGGTATTAAAAAAAAAACAACAAAAAATTGGCCCATACATCAGGCCCATTTGGCAATGAAAGGTACTTTCCTAAATCGCAGCGTTTAAAATTGCCCGCCACCATGAAGCTTCCGCCACTAATCAGTCCTGCAGTATTTGTGTGCGAGTGATAAGGCTACACTCAGTTATGCATGGTTTATGTGACACTCATTTCATATATGTTATTTGCCCTTCCCCTCCCCCCCCCCCCAACTTGGCCTGGTGGTAAGCTCAGATTCGGTAAAATGAGTGTGATTTCGTTTAATCAACTACGCATACCGCATACGGTTGCAGTTTTCCCCTGCCAGAGGCCGGGCAGTGGCGCCGCCCGCCGTCGGTGCCGTGCGTCTGGCCTGTCTAGGCAGCGGTGGTACAGGCCGGCCGGGCCTCTTGTCGGCGGTGTGACCCTGCGTGGCTCCCGGCTCGGCGGCCGGCCCGTAGCAGGCGGTAGTGCCACAGGCCGGCCGGGCCTCTTGTCGGCGGTGTGACCCTGCTGGGCTCCCGGCTCGGCAGCCGGCCGGTGACAGGCGGCGGCGGCGGCGAGCGGCCATGTCCGACCGAGCGCGGCCAGCAGCCGGGCTTCGCTCACCAGAGCGGCGGCGCCCGGCCGTCCCCTATCGATCCCCCTGCCGTCCGATGGGCGGGCCGACGGGGGCGCCGGCGGGGGCGCCGGGGGGGGGGGGGGCCGCGATTCGGACACGCGCCGGGCGCGGGGACTGACTGGGGAGGGGTGCCGGGTCACGAGCCCAGGGTGCCGGGCACGCCGGCGGTGTGGGCAGAGCTCCGCACACTGTCGGACGGACCCTTGACGCACGCAAGTGTCGCGTGTTGAATGCCTGACTCGCGTGTGAGTGCGTTCTCTGTTCGTGCTTTGTCAAGGCATGGCTGGTGCTGGCGTGTGGCGTGCGCAGGGCAGCTGATAGGGCATGCTCTCTGACTAACCAACCATTGAAGCCATTGCAGGATGGTTGCCTGGCAACAGTATGCAGGTGGTTCATTGAAGGGTGCAATATCTTATTTCTAACATGAACATTTTGAATATGAACATGCACGGAAACATTTTTGTATCCCCTTGAATCCACTACCTTGTAACCCGCCCAGTAGGACACGGTGGCGCTTTGTGGTAGCCGACTGCGGCGGCCGACTGACCTCTGACCCTGTGGCAGCAGGCGTGCGTGGTGCAGTCGTGCGTGCGCTTGCTGAAGACGGACCGCCGGCGCCGGCTGCACCGGTTCCCCGGCTCGCCGGAGCGCGCTGCCCTCTGGCGGCAGCGGTGCTGCCTGCCGGCGGACGCACCCACCGACGCGCTCAGGGTCTGCAGTCTGCACTTCGCGGCGGACGACTACGCCCGGTTCGCCAAGAACGGCCTGGTGCGCCACCTGAGGCCCGACGCCGCGCCACACCTCAACATGGAGAGGTGGGCGGCGGCGGTGGCGCCGTGCGCAGGGAGCCGCCGGCCCAGTGTGCTCACACATCGTGGGACGCCTCGTTTTGACGTCAATTCTCGGATCATGCGTTTTTCACCCGAACTAGGGCAACGATGCACAGCTTGTGTCGATGGTATACGGTACCGCGCGTGTCCAATATGGCACACCCATTAACGCCTCCGATTAACTCGGAACTGGGGAGATAAATGGATAATTTCGCTCTGTCCGTGCCTCATGTTCAGCGCGATTGTGCAGGCCGGTGCCGCTCAGACGGCGTTCATGACTGCACATGATATTGTGGCGGGAAGTGGTGCAGGGCGCGGCGCAGTGGTGTCTCGCCGGACCGTCGCCCGAGCCGTGTGCTGACCGCCGCCCCGTCCGACAGCGGGACGCTAGCGTCGCCGAACGACTCCCGCTCCGTGCGCGGCATCAAACGGCCGAAGCGCTTTGACGACTTCCAGTGTCCGGACGGCACGCCGGTGCGAGCCGGCGTACTCGAGTCGGCCGCCAACCCGCTGGCCGGCGGCGATGCGCAGACCGGCGTCACCACTCCCGGACCCCCCGTTGTCGCCGCTGGCGACATGACCGAACTGGCCAACAAGCAACCGGCCGCGCTCAAGGCCATCATCCGGATCCTGCGCGAGGAGAACCAGCATCTGCGCGGCATGCTGGAGACGGAGCGCGGCCGCGCCCAGCAGCTGGCTGCCGGCGTCGAGCGGCTGGTGCGCGGCTACCGGGGCGGCACATCACCCTGAGACCGGACGGCGTCCCGCTCCGACGGACCGCCGTCCTGAGACCGGACGGCGTCCTGCTCCGACGGACCGCCGTCCTGAGACCGGACGGCGTCCCGCTCCGACTGACCTCCGTCCTGAGACCGGACGGCGTCCCGCTCCAACGGACCGCCGTCCTGAGACCGATGGACTGCCGTCCTGGGTCGGACGGCGTCCTGCTCCGACGGACCGCCGTCCTGAGACCGATGGACTGCCGTGCTGGGCCGGATGGCGTCCTGCTCCGACGGACCGCCGTCCTGAGACCGATGGGCTGCCGTCCTGGGTCGGACGGCGTCCTGCTCCGACGGACCGCCGTCCTGAGACCGATGGACTGCCGTCCTGCGACCGGCCGGCTTCCTGCTTCGACGGACCGCTGTCCTGATCCTGGGCCGGGCAGGAAGCAGAACGGCAGTCTGCCCGGCCCAGGACACAACAGAACGACGGTCTGCCGGGGCAAAGAAGATGTCGGGACCACTGCCGAACGGCCCGTCGCTCTGAACACAGGAACGCCCGTGACAGCAATGCAGTCTTGACTGGGCTCGACTGGGCCAGGGAACTGGTCTTGCCGTGCTGCCTGCTTCTCAGGTACAAAGTCGTGTACAAAGCTGGCGGCATAGGAGTTGCGGGAGAACCATGGCCACGGCTGGTTTGGTTTGGGTCAAGGCCGGGCCCCAATTGTTTGATGTGGGTCCGACCGAGTCTCGAATGTTCCGTGTGTATCAGGCCCGAGTCGCCATTGGTTAATGTTGAGCTTGCCTGTGACGGGATTGGTCGGTACAGACCAGGGTCGGATGCTGATTAGTTGGTGTAGATCGGGGCTCAAGTCGTTGACTGCGGCTGTCGACTCCAGGGCATATGGTGCTCACCTGTGGCACGGGGGGCAGATGCTGGGGAGTAACTAACACTAACACGATCAAAACCGATCGCTGACCGATTTCGCCACTGCGGACTTGTTGCGTTTGGCTGTGAATTTGGGCGGACTGGTCGCGGGCTGCGTGCTTTTATCGTGTAATCCTGCCATCGGTGTGTTTTTTTAACTTCGCCACGTTCACCTCACCGGAAGGTGAAATACATCTGATGCAGCCCGAGCAAAACCATCTGTTCTCATGTTCGCGTCTAGGTACGGTGGACAGCAATTTGAGACACCTTTGATATCAGCGTAAGATATCCCTTCGCATACACAGTACAATATAGTTTATACACAGCGCTGGGAAGGCGGATGGGCGTAATAGGTCTGACCGCCGGACGGGCGGACGGTCTGGCTTTGAGCAGCCGGGCCTCGAGCACTGACACCAATTCAACATCGCAGGGGTGTGGTTTCCTATCTAGCTGAGGGGCTTCAACCCCCCCCTCCCCCACTTAGATTCCAGCCCCTCCCTCCCCCCACACTTTGAATGGAAAGAGTCGAACCCGGGAGAACCCCGCTTGTTTCGGCGAATTTTGGAGGGTAGGTTTCATGGCTTTACGATTCAGCCCCCAATTCACTGCGAAACTGCGTCCCCGCAATGGCATGAACATGGTTGCCATTTTGGTGCAAATATTCGGCGGTGTTCTGCCTCCGGTTTCATTTTTTGGTGAAAAATGCGTAATATTTGACGTTCGAGAGTAAATATAATCTGTGCCATTGCGTTTCAGAATTGTTTCCCAACTTTCAGTCATCAGGTGACTGCTGTAACTTTCGTACGTTATTCCTTCACATTCTTTTGGTTACGTCAACGGAGCAATAATCAGCGTACGAGATACAAACTCAGCAAAAAACTTTGCACCGAGTTCCAATCAAGGCACAGTCGCGCTGCCTATGGTATTGACCTGGACGTATGCAAATTGGAGAGGAGTACTCTCGTCCCATCCAGTTTTATTCATGTTTTTCATCTGAGCTCAGTTCATATAAAAAAAAACAGCCGTTTGCAGGTTTCCAGCGGACATCACCATCAGCCGCTGACCGAGATCAAGCGGGGATCGGGTGGAGATTGAGCTGATGACAGCAGAGATTGGGCCAAGAACGGGCCGAGATTGGGCTGATGACCGGGAGAGATTGGGCCGGGAACGGGCCAAGATGACGGGAGATTGAGCAGAGATCGGGTCTCTGCCAGTGCCCCCCGGGGGCGGGGGTGACGTGTTCCGGCCACCCCCGCGCCGGCGTAGGGCCGCGCCCGAGGCGGCGCCTTCCGGCGACCGGTGTCTCTGGCCGGCGGCCAGACGGGGCACGCCAAATAACCTCTCTTAAAGCGACTCCGCCCCATCAGGCGCCACTCAATGGGCCCCGGCTGCGGTGACCGGGCCCGGGCTGGGGCCGATACGGCTCTGTATGTGTGGCCAGGGCCGATCCGCGGCCGATGATCGGCGCCTGGGCGGCCGCTTTTGGGTCTGGTCTGCCGGTCCTTTGGGTCTGGTCCGCCGGTCTTGGCGGTGTCGGCCGCCCCCACTCGCTTTGGACACTCCCTCATTTCATGCAGGGCAGGTTGGCACGGCTGGAGCTCGGCAGGTTCCTGCACATATCAATGAGGCTCTGAGGTAGGTAGAATATGATGAGGCATGGCTCACTGTCGCAACATGTACCATTACCGCTTTTCATTATTAAAATTCGTTACCATTGCTGGCGCCCGGCAAAAGGCGCTAGGCGTATGTGGCGGTGATCGCATGGGAGATGATAGGCGGATCAGTCTCGGCAGATGTTCAGTCGACCCCAGCGGCGGCGCAGAGGCGGCGCAGAGGCGGCGCTCGCCTCGCCCCAGCGGCGGCGCAGAGGCGGTGCTCGCCTCGCCCCAGCGGCGGCGCAGAGGCGGCGCTCGCCTCGCCCCAACGGCGGCGCAGAGGCGACGCTCGCCTCGCCCCAACGGCGGCGGAGAGAGGCGCTCGCCTCGCCCTGGCGGCGGCGCAGAGGCAGCGCTCGCCTCGACCCAGCGGCGGCGCAGAGAGGCGGCGCTCGCCTCGCGCACTGCCCGTTCTCGCCCCGAGTGTAGTGGACGGTTTCTACCTGCCCAACGACGGGCATCAACCACTTAACCAACATCGTTTTGCTCATTTGGACGCTCTGTGAATGCTGCGCGTGATGACGATTGTCTGGAACACGACAGGCTTCACCAGAGCTTCGAATGGTTACTTGAGACTTGGATTAGTTAACTGCCTATAATACTTTTCAGTGCTAGCCGCCCAACTTCTTTCTATTGTAATGCTGCAATTTGTTACTTGGTACATTAATCGACACCAACGTGAATTCAATCACAAATGTCGCGCGCGATTTGATGAGAATGTGTTGATTTATATGGTGGTGGACTTATTCCATGCTGGTCGCGGCGATAGCATTGCCGCTCCGTACCTCGTTGAACATTGACCTCAGGTGGCCTTTATCCTGCCGGACACTGAAGCTGGACTTCCCTGTCGGTGAAGGCCTCCCGGTGCAGCGATACGGCGGCCGGCCAGCCGCAGTCCCGTGACTGACGCGCAACCACTCACGTGAGCACGACAGCAGGCCTTTGTCCCAGTTTATTCCAGTTCACGCACGTTCACAAACCACACCCGACGGCCAGCGCAGCGTTTCCTCGAGCCATCATCAGCACATCGCGCGAGACGGAGCCGGGCGAGCCGTGCGCTGAGGCGGCAGCCCCGGCAAAAGCCTGGCGGGCTCCGGCGGCGCCCGGCCAGCCGACACTGGCTCGGCCGACGCCCTATGGTAGAATCTATCACAGGCTGGCGGCGGCAGAGCGGCTGGGACCGAAGCGGAGACGGGGAGAAGGACCGCGCTCGCGCCTGGGTGCATAGGCGCCCTCTGTGAGCAAGCGCAGTGCAGGGAGAGCACAGGCGGACTGTGGGAGACAGGTTGCTGAAGTCTCGGCCTCCCGGGAGCCCGGCAGCCGTCAGCACCACCATCCTCAACGGACCTGACCCGGCCAGTCCCGGCGAACCTTGGCAAGAGAGGAGACACTGCCCACGGGGCACCAGACGCGGTATCCGGGGACTCGGGCCGCTCCCAGCTCCCTGGGACTGGCGCACACTGGGACTGGCGCACGTTCGGCCGGATGTGTGAGGTGGCATTTAAAAGAGGGCACCGCGGGCTAGCGCCAATATCAGACGAGGCCCGGAGAAGGCAGTCACCGGCCAGGCGACCTCCAGCCGAGCCGCGCGATGACCACACTTTCGCAGCGCTGGCACACCGCTGGCCTTCGGCGCCGAGCTTCCGGGAAGGCGGTCGCGCTGACCGGGTCGGCGGAGCGAGGACGGGCGCTGCAACGGCTATCACGCCGGGGGATAACTTGGAAGCCAATAAAGCTGGAAATATAAATCCAACAAAAAGTGACGCTGCTTGCGGGAGTCTACAGCCGAGATTGCGACGGCGGCGACATTGGAAATGTCGATCACGTGCCCTAGGGTCGCGGACTTAAGCTTTGTACAAGGATGTTAAGTTTAGGTTCAGTTGTACTTCTGAATTGTTCGAGTAATAAAACCGTCTTGCCTGCAAGATACCTTGGAAATGGAACTCATTTAATTATCTGTAAAAAGCTCGATAAATTATGCAATCAAAATATACTTAACACGCATAAACGTATGTTGATGGGAAATGCAAAAGAGCTGTTTTGATGTGGAGAAGATACATAGTTAAATAAATTTTGAAGCTAAAACCGCGAAGTAAAATCACGTAAGCAAAGCAATTATAATGCATGTGTTCAGCTTCGGGTAAGATGCATGAGACAGGATGTTACGGATGCCAACAATTCTGAATCGCATTGAAGGAAATCGATGCAGCCATCAGAGTCCATTAATCATCGCGGGGAATGAACTACCGCACATATGGAAGCCAATCACAGTCATAATCTAGCCGCATGCCTCGCGGGAAAAACTCAGCAACGTACGAGTAATTAGCGTAGCAATATCAGACATATCAAACGAAATGTAAAAATTCTGAACGTATGCAGTACACATTGCATCATGCTACCATGACACAGACGTGTAAAGATGGAAAACCGAGGGTGAGTGAACGACAGAGAATGCATGTACATATATGTCAATGACAAAAGTCAGGTATAACGCATATAGTTGCCTCGACAGAGTTGCTCACTGTCTACAGAAGACCGCCGCAGATTAACAATCAATACAACACTCCCAATCCACGGTGTCACCTGCCAACGGATGATATAGATTTAAGCTAGCAGGCAGTCACTGTCCGCCGTCGTCTCGCTGGCACGCATGTGCCACGCGTCCGCCATTACCGCCTCGGGGAATATGCTGTTAAAATGTTATGCACCTCATCTGGCATTCGCAGCAGGCACGTGGATCATCATTCCGCTATTGTCAGCCCAGCTCAACGTGAGCACGTTTTCACAGACAACGCACGTGGTGGAATGTTGACGTCTCCATCCGGCCGTGCCGCCCATCCAACCGGCACAGCTGGCTCGCCCGCAGACCCCGGCGTGCCGAAAAGCCGGAGCAGCAGCCGGCCAGGCCGGGCGTCACGCTCAAAGGCCGTAGGTGTGCCTGGCTCCAGCGTGCTCCCAGCTGCCTAGCGCGTCGGTGGCGTCGCCGGCGCGCAAGGATCCCACCTCGACGGCGGCCGAGCCGCGGCGCACACCGATTCGCCACGGCTCGCGACAGGCTTGCGGCCACTGCACCGTCCAGGTCAGCGTGGAGGTCGCAGAGGTGACCTAGACCGACGGCCGTGACCTGACAGCCGGGGCTCACAGACCGGCCCAGAGGTGACCTGGACCGACGTCCGTGACCTGACAGCCGGGGCTCACAGGCCGACCCAGAGGTGACCTGGACCGACGGCCGTGACCTGACAGCCGGGGCTCACAGACCGGCCCGGAGGAAGCCTACAACAGCTGACGCCAACTGACGCCAGCTGAGATCAGCATCTGCCGAAACTTACAAAGGCGATCTGCTGCGATAGAAATTTACGAGCGGCTGGTGCGTCGGCGTGTACGGCAGCGGGGCAAAACCGCGCGTGCGCTGCACGACGGTGGACTGCCTGTTGATAGGTCACTTCAGCGCCGCTCGATTTCCCGGCCAGGGTGTCGCGGCGCCAGCAGCCACCTCAGCCGTCGTTTGACGTCAGCTGGTAATGTGGGGCCCGCGCCAGGCGGCGACCTGCAGCTGGCCTCGTAGCGGCGGAAAGGGGCGGGTCGCGGGACTAGATATAGCCAGCGCGGCTGTTCGGCCCCTCGCCGGGCCGCGCCGGTGGTGGTGGTGGTGGGGGGGGGGGGGGGGGGAAGGGGGCGACCAATCGGCACCAACTTTCCAGCAGTGACCAGCCGAACTTTGCACGATTCGCTAAGGCGGACAAGTGCGGCGATAGTTAGGTGGACTGAGGCCGAAAATGGACCGGCCGGGTGAGGGTGCAGCGGAGCCTGCGAAGATGGAGTTGGCCGCACTTCCCACATCAGGCCAGCACGACCGTCTAATTCCGGAACACAATGGGTGAGGATGTCGAGCAGGACTGATTATGAAATCCAAACAACGGGACATGAGACAAAGTTCAACAGAAGTCATTACGAAGACATTAGTCCCGCTTTATTCCCGCTGAAATTTCAAATACGTTCCCTGCCGACTAATTACATAAGCCTCGCCAAGGCTTCGGTGCGGCTTCCGCTGCCTTTGCGTGCCGCGGTCCTCTGGGACCGGCTTCCGAGTCCCCAGAAGCATTACGAGAAATGAAGTCCGCGGTGGCGCTCAGCAAGAGCCAGCTGAGGGCCATCGGCACCAGCTGGCCGCCTTTTAACACCAGATGAGCCGGGCTTACATCCGACGCCGACCAGGCTTACACCCGACGCCGACCACCGCTGGTGCAGAGTGAGACAATATCCAACCCCCGCCGCTCTCAACATCAGGCGACACGCTCGCCCAGACGGCGATAACAAACACACCTCGTCCACAAGCACGCGCCCACGCTCAGTCCGCGCCCATGCCGGGACCGTCTCGACTCCGTCGGCGGTGCAGCGCCTGTCGGCCGGCTCGCCGTTGCCCGTCTCGGCCTTGGGACACCCCGACAGCACCTCAGTCTGGCCCCACATGGGAACGAGCCGGGCCGAAGCCAACATCGAACGCACAACAACGACAGGGCGGGCCGGCCGGCCGGAGGTCACGTGACGGCGGCCGATGCGAAAACACGGCCTCCGGTGCCGACCACGTGGCCGGCTGAGCTGGCCGGCGCCGGGGCGCCGCTCGGTCGGCGTGGTCTGGGGTCAGGTCGCCGCCGCGTCAGGAGCCACGACCCCCGGAGTCGACAGCAGCAGACGGCGTCCGCAGGCACGTGCAGCATCACGTGAGGTCGCCCACAGCTCATCTCTACTTGCACGGCGAGCCGTGGTTCATCAGAACCCGCACGAACTCTGCCGGGCGAGGTGAGGTCAGACATCGCACTGGGGGAGGGGGAGCTGAGGTCAGTGGCCGGATCGCGAGGGAGTTGAGGTCAGTCACTGGACTGAGGGAGAGGGAAGGTGTGGTCAGGTGCCGATCACGGGAGAGCTGGGGTGGGGGTGGGGGTGGGTGGGGAGGGTCAGTCACTGAACTGAGAGGGGAGGTATGGTCAGGTGCCGATCACGGGAGAGCTGGGGGGGGGGGGGGGGGGTCAGTCACTGAAATGAGAGGGAGATATGATCAGGTGCCGATCACGGGAGAGCTGGGGGTGGGGGTGGGGGTGGGTGGGGAGGGTCAGTCACTGAACTGAGAGGGGAGGTATGGTCAGGTGCCGATCACGGGAGAGCTGGGGGGGGGGGGGGGGGGTCAGTCACTGAAATGAGAGGGAGATATGATCAGGTGCCGATCACGGGAGAGCTGGGGTCAGTCACTGAACTGAGAGGGGAGGTGTGGTCAGGTGCCGATCAAGGAAGAGCTGGGGTCAGTCACTGGACTGAGGGGAGAGGTGTGGTCAGCTGCCGGATTGCGGGGAGTTGAAGTCAGTCTTGGGGACTGGCGAGCTCTGGACTGGCCACTAGACTGGGACGGGGGTAGACACAGGACTGAGGATAGTCATGCACCCGTGGTGGCATCCTGGGATGGGAAATCATTCGTGGGGCACAACCTGTTTTTGACCAGGAGTGGATTGAGATGGGCACGACTTTTAAACGGGTATGACAATTTACAGCTCTCGTTACATGAATATGCAGTTTAACCTTCATGCGTCTAATTTTTTTTCTCCAACCAGATTCACAGCCAAAACGTCTGCACAGATTGCCGTGAAATCAGCACATATGATGGGTCCGGCCGTTGTGACGATCCAGATACATTCGAGACTGTCCGCTGTCGGTGTCGGGTCACTGTGCACACGAGAGGAGAGCGTATTTCGCACTTCTCAAAGGGACACTTCGCGCACATTTACGGGAAACAATATGCCTTAGGGCCATGCCGGTGGAAACATAATACAAAGCTCGAGCAGCGATAAATTTAGAGTCCCAAACGCACGCGAATCTTAGTGACACAAACTGAAAGCTCAGAAAAAAACTAATAACCCGTTGCCCATCACTGATACGCCAATCATGTCATGCAGATCAAGCGGTGCTATCGCGACACCGACGACATCCGCTCTCTCTGTATATATATATATATATATATATATATATATATATATATATATGTATACATATATCAGTATCTATCGCTGCGCGGGTAGTGTGCCTACGCGATCCGTGGGTATTGGACAGCTTATAAGTCCACAACATCCATTACATAACATTATTGGAACACATTTCAAACTATTGAGACGTGAGTGAGTGTTACGCCACGTGTGGCGTTCCTACCGGCGCCAGCGGTATCACCTCTTCGCACCCTGGAGCGGACGGAGCGTGCGTCTTGTCTTACGCGGAACCGGGCAGTTATCGTCAAACATTATTGGAATTTGTGCCGCCGTAAAGCCGATAAAAGAGGGACAACAGCTATTTTAAAGTCAATCTGTGCGAACGAGGTCATTGGTGCGACGCGTTGCCATGAAAAGCTGGAACACGGGGTGATCTGGGCACAGGGGTAATGTTGACCTGCAAAGCAAGGGGTAATGTAGATGATCTTTAAGGAAAGCACTGAGGCCGAAGGGTAGTAGGGAGAGGGACGTGCATAGGCCCCTCGGCCCTTTTTACAATTAACTCTCCTCAGGTAGCCAAATCCAACCTTCAAAACTTCAGTCATAAACAACCACCATTTTGCCTCTTCTGCGAGTTAAAATACGCTCTAGTTTAATTCATCAAAGGAACATATTCTGAAGCCTAACCCATGTATATAAATCCATTACGCTCTAGACCAGCCTAACATGCGAGGTCTAATGTGGCATATGATGGGTACATCAACGGTTACTTATAGAATCAAATAGAACTCTTACAAGCACGCGTCCTAGTCCATGTGAGGTGACCAATTTTTCAATGCAACCTAATTATAAGTCGTTTCACTTGAGGCTTTTACGGTTCGCTTTATTCTTCATTCCAATTATCGGTTTCAAACAAGAGTTGGTTCTGGTTCTACGTCTATGTTTAAGTCCAAATAAACATAACGGGCACAACTTCACCTATATTTACTGACCGCAGGGTGTTGGGCCAAGCTGCTCTCAAAAGTGCGTCGGGGCTAAACTTGACGACATCACCACAGCAAGATAAACAAACACCTCCACACAATGTACACCTCACCTTCATAATTTATCTTGCCATTGCCGTTCTTATCGGCTTCTCGGATCATGTCGTCCACCTCGTCGTTGCTCATCTTCTCCCCCATGGAGGTCATGATGTGCCGCAGCTCACCAACGGTCAGCAGGCCGTCCTCGTCCTTGTCAAACACCCTGGACCAGAGGGAATGACTGACTGCAGAAGCCGCACTGGACTCGTCACCACGCCATTCGTCCCACCACACCGCACGCGAGGTGGGACCGTGTCTCATGTGTGCGGGGAACACGAGGATTGGTGCCTCCAGCCCTGACCTGTGCGGGTGACCTGGCGGCTCGGTGCCTCCAGCCCTGACCTGTGCGGGTGACCAGGCGGCTCGGTGCCTCCAGTCCTGACCTGTTCGGGAGAACACGCGGCTTGGTGCCTCCAGTCGTGATCCGTTCGCGATTTGGCTTAAGCATCTGCAGCGTTGGTAATATGTTAGCATTAGCTATGTGTTGTTGCGCCCGCATGCGCAGGAATAAGGGAATAAAAACGTTAACGCTGTCCCATATTTTGTGGTTCCTGTGGGCACGCATTTTAATCATGAAACCCGCGCAACGGATCCGTCACGCGGTAGCCGCTAGGGGAGACATCTGATGCCTGCCATTTTGGAAACACGCCATCCATGTTTGCCGTCAATTTCTTCAACTCACATTTTTGGCGTAGGACGCACAGAATCTATGAGAGTGTCTCGTCACTGGGGCTTTACGACGACCTCAGCTGCTGAGGCTATGTGGCGTCGCCTGCCACTCACACTGGCAGGAAGTGGAAGGCACCGCGAGGAATCGAACCCCGTAACTCAGGTTTTCCAGACGCGCAGTGGTTAAGGCAGCGTTCACCACTACGTTATGGGAACCCCTTTGAGAGTGTCTAGACCTGAGGAAAATAGGCGTTGATTATTCCAGGGATTTTCGTACTGCATGCTGAAGGCAAGTACGCGAGAACACGCTCGTAGCACAATTTGAGGTCAAGTAGGATCGTTAAAGAACCGCATCGCTTAATAAGGGGTGAGAAATGACCATTTTGTATGCATGGATTTCTACTTAATCCCATACGCGAAAAGTAGCTGCAGTAATAGTCTCTCTGCCAGTGAAGCTCCCATTCTTCAGAGGCATTCAGAACCACACAGAGTTACAAAGTCACACAGAGTTACACGACCTTACAAGCCATCGAAGGAAAACTTTTGAACTCACCCATTGGTCGATTTGGAGAGACCCTCAAAGCTGCACAAGCGTAGTAACCAAGCCACTTTGGCTCTCCTAGCAGCATGTTATATATTTCTACGTAAGCAGTTCGCGGTATTGACATTGCAGGGTATCACATGGACGTGTAAGGATGGCAGCTCGACTGATAGCTATGTTAGCTGTGGTGAGCTCGCTGTCGTTTTGGTGCTAGACCAATCCGGACCGGCGGCTAGCCCATTCCGGACCGGCGGCTACACCAATGCGGACCGGCGGCTAGACCAATGGGGACCGGCGGCTAGCCCAGTCCGGACAGGCGGCTAGCCCAGTCCGGACCGACGGCTAGACCAATCCGGACCGGCGGCTAGATCAATGCGGACCGGCGGCTAGTCGGATAGCTGTGGGTTCAAAGTTATTAGCTAATAAGCTCATAATGAATGTATAGTCTCAGATTTGGTTTCACTCTTGGGTTTCAGTGAAAAACGTATTTGCTTAACACATAATGGCCTGAAATCAAGTTATGTTTACCTACCCCGGGATCCTCGGAGGAGAGTCAATTTCCCAAGATTTTGCCGGGCAGTGTGGTGACCTGAGCGTTGCCCGGGTAGCATCTCACTTCACTCTAAAAGTAGTAAATCTAAGGAAACAGCAATGAGATATCGTAGCAATTCTGAATTTGTTCCTACAATACAATATTGCGCTGTTCTCATTCTTGTAATAATGTTTACACTAGTCCTAGACGTCTGGTGGTGTTCTGATAGGACATATAATCATGTGGCGTGTTTCAAGCACGCATAATAAATTACGTGTGGTAAGAAATAGCCCCAGCGTACTTACTAAATCTAGCGCCAACCTGAATCTGCAAGTCATGGCCGAATGAATGACGGGGTGAATCTATAGACGTCCCAAATCCACGGCTCGAACCTGTGCAAATATATTTTTCGGTAGTTTTTAACTCCCGTGGTCAACTAGACGGATCGGTGGGCGGCTCCCCGCGGCTAGACGATCGATCAGTGGCTAACCAGCTAGCCGACTGGCCAAAAACCAGCCTTCTTTTAAAATGGTCATCAAGCAACGATGCATCGCCGAAGACAAAGGATTTGTCCGTACACGAATTTCACCAATTTCATTTCCATATTTCCCACCACATACACATGAATAATGCAGCAAATGAGTGATGAGCCCTACGGCTGGCCACTGTATACACATTCGTCTGCTCGTGGGTCTGGATATGACCAGCCATGACCAGTTTCCGCCATCAAACTTTCAGCCCGGCGGGAGAACCGGAAGCGACTTTGTAGCTGCTACTGCTGCAGAAACCCCGGAGATGATTTGGCCACTAAACCAAATCAGCGTCATCCAAGTTTACATCCCCAAGACGAAATGCCCACCCCCAGCACGCGTTGCGACAACCACGAAACTACGGACGGAAAGCCAACGGGAGCAGTTCCAGGAATCTCGTCCACCTGTTTCCGACTCGCAACATTTGTGAGCATCTGAGAACGGCGGCGAGCACACACCGAGTCCGCATCGACCCAGCAGAAGGATTCACGATGGCCCGGTTCGACAATCGATCTCGCTCCGGACACCTGTTGCCCCCCGGGCCTGGACACGGCTGCTCGCGTGTCCACTCCGCGGACAACGTGGCGTCGCCTCCGGCAGCACGCCCGCGGCTACTAATGACGTCCAGGAAGTGACGTCATCCCGGCGCGATTCAGCCGCCTTGGGCCGGCGCCGCCGGTCCATGACGCAAGGAGCTCTCCACCACGACAGCGCTGCGAGCTGACGTCCAGCGAGCTCGTAAGATATACCAAAAATCCGACTCACTGAATGAAAGGGTTCCAGATTCTCAGCTGTTCTGGGGAACAATGGAATCATTCAGAGCACGGGGTAACTCTCGGCTTCACTCTGCCGATTGAACCGGTGCACCGGTTCAGTTAAGTTAAGTTCAGTTCAGTTCTGTAAAACACACTCCACACCGCAGCGTGGACTGTGTTGAACTGTGATGGGCGTCGTATGATAGAAAATGTGTTTTACGCGTTAATCTCTTATCGTTGCATGATAACAAAGGCTTTCCACTCGTTGATCTTTCGTGTGACATATGGGAGAGTAGCGTTCCACATACTGCTCTGTTGCGTGCCGGTATGCTGGAAGGGGTGTTCCAGGTGATGATGTGGTAACATTTTCTAAAATTCTTCAACTAGCCATATCAGTTTTCTTACTGGGTTAGGTGTCTGTGAAACGTATGGGTAAACACAAATAATATATTTGGTTACGTTCTAGAGGAAACGTAAAATCAGCTTGCAAGCGTTGGAACAGGTTTCGCTGGATTCATCGATATATACATATGCACACACACACACACACACACACACACACACACACACACACACACACATATATATATATATATATATATATATATATATATATATATATATATATATATATATATATATATATATATATTATTGTCCGCAGTCGTCATAGGCATGTTTTTTGATACACCGTCTTCAAGGAAATTCTTGGCATGTTTTGATGCCGATTGAACTAGTCACCTTTGACAAACTCTAAAACAGCTAGCGACTTAAATTGGAGATCGACGGGCAGCATTTCAGTTTTTGAAAAAAGCTTGAAAGGCATCATTTCATTATTTGTTTTATACTTATTTCAATAAAAGCAATTCATTCAGCGGTCAACGTTTACACTTGGAATACGTCTATGCATGAGGGCTATATAAATGCGACTATGAATTTGTCAAAGAGTGCTACAATCTGTATGGGACTTCTCCTCAGATGACAGGAACGGCTCCCAAACTTTCCGAAATTTCGCATTGGACCTTGAGTGCTTGTGCTGTGAAGAAAGAGCTCTCGGCAGCCTTTTGTACCCTGATTTCAACTCTTGATCCATGGTGAAGTTTCTAGAAATATGCCGCTGAATGTGTCCAAGATCTGCGATAAACGGGTACGACAGTACGAATTTGTAGTAGTGCTATGGTCAGGCAGGGCTGGGTCACCCAGCTGACAAGTAGTTCCGCCTGCCGAGGAAGGACTTGCTGGAAAACTGATCGATAACACACACAATGTTGGACAGTGCCACCGGCGAAAACTTCTAGGAACCAGTATGAGTGCATTGTTGCTGTCAATTGGAGATGCAGCTGCATTCCCATTACCTGAAAACGCGTGATATATATATATATATATATATATGTGTCAAAGATCCTCAAAGAGTAAGAATAACAAACAAGTAATGGCCAAAACATCAGTCCCTGTCATACCTGTATCAACCTGTTAACGTTTCGCTACACTTGGGAATTCTCAGCAGAGCAAAACAGTGAGGAAACAAGGCTACATTTAGCAAACATCGCTAGGCCATATCGCATAAATGGCGCGCGATAAGTAAGTTCATGATCATGGTTCGCACATCCAGTACCACGAGCACAACACTTATCTGCACCCAAAGAGATGAGCTTGAAAAATGCATAATCACGCGATGAAATATCTTTTATGCACCATTCAATATCATTGATCTATGCGTGACACTAGCTCTGACATTGAAAATTATTACAGCGAAATAGAAAAATACAGCAATTGCCTCCATCTCATATATTAAGATCACTTCATAGTCACCAAAAGAAGCGGAAAATTGAATATCATGTGTCTAGCACATCTTCCGTAAATTACTAGGCACTTTTTATCCGGAGCCTAAACGACCTTTGGCTGTGTGATTTCGTTTTTTTCAACCTGACCTGTTTACGTGCAGATGAGTGTTGTGTCCGTTGTGTGAACCATGACCATCACGTCCTTTGAATTCAGGTTTTTCCTTTATAACTATATATATATATATATATATATATATATGTATGCAGAAGGCAACATTTTAGTACAGTGGAGCGGGAGCCCAACCAAAAGTCACAACCACCACCGCTAGGTCCGATGTACCACAGGGTCTGGTGTGCCACTGGGTCCGGTGTACCAGAGTCTGGTGTGCCACAGAGTCCAGTGTGCCATAGAGTCCGGTGTACCACAGGGTCCGCTGTGCCACAGAATCCGGTGTGCCAGAGTCCGACGTGCAACAATAACCGGTGTGCCACAGAGTCCCCTGTGCCACAGAGTCCGGTGTGCCACATAGTTCGGTGTGCCACAGTGTTCGCTTTGCTACAGGGCCCGGCGTGCCACGACAGGCTTCACGCCTGTGTCTCACTTTGTTTTCACGCATCGGTTGAATTCATCGACCTGCACACTAGACTACCGGTACCCATGACCTGGAATAACCTGGACGCCGACATCCCAACGTCGTGGTCGCGATCAGTGGGGGGGGGGGGGGGGGGGGGGAGTGTGAACCAGCGACAGGTGCCCCCCGCCCCCTGGCCAGGGAGAAGGTCCCCCGTGTCGTATCGGCTGTGGTCGCCGCTTCACGACACCCTGCTGAAGCGGACGAATGTTGACGGCGACGGTCATTGGCTCTTTGTCTCCGCTACGTCACAAGCCGTGATTTATACAGCTCCCGGCAGACAGACGACGTTTTGATGGGACTCGAATCGCACATCTGTGAGAAACGATACATGCTAACACTTGATGTTAACATGATGAAGAGGTAGTAGGTGACCCGATAGAAAGCAAAGGGCGTAGAGGTGAATTGGATGCATCCGTCATTATGCAAACACCATTTAGCTCACTTGAAGGCTTCTTTCAGTTCCTCTTCACTCTCCATGCCTGCCATCTTCTTAGCCATCATCTGTAAGAATTCGTTGAACTCTATTTGCCCCGTACCCTCTTGATCCACCGTTGATACCATTTTTTCTAGTTCAGTTTCTGTGAAAGGGAACACCCGAGTTGAGCCTTCTGCATCATCAGCAGGTAAGCTTGGTTTCACACGAGAAAGGCTCACGTAAAATCAACGATGATTGATGAGTCAAAACCTGCTACACGCACAACACATGCTACACGAGTACAACGTGCTCATACGCACGCGTACGTACAAAGCATGCTGCACGAGCGCCGTGAACTCCGATGTATTGGTTTATTTGGCTCTGTTCTAGGACACGTGACCATTGAGATATTTCCACAATCGTGTTCAATATTACTATTTTTTTAATGTTGGCAAGTGGCGATAACATGAGACGCCAATACAACAGACGGAGAGGTCGAAGTTCAACTGGACCAGACCAGCCGATCAATGCACAGATTTACCAATACTACAGGCCAAAACATCAGGTTCACTCGGACCGGATTTCACGCTCATCAAAAATTAAACAGCCGCAGTGGCGTCGCAGCAAAAATGTCCAGCGCTCCTGAGGCTTCCCAGAGAATCCACTTTTGTCGCACTGCCATCGCAACGCGCCACGTATTGTGCATCGAGCAGCAGCACAGGCAGTCGAGGCAGACTATACATGATAACACCATCACGAAGCCCGGACACCTAGCACAGGTAGATGTTGGAGGGCAGTCAGACCAGTGGGAGAGGGCCCGATTGCGCCGAGTGTGCAGCTTCGCAGCTATCGCGGCCTCTCCCAGCGGCGCCCAACGGCTGTCCTGAGCAGGAGGCCGTCACGGCCGGCGGCCAGAGCGGACCAGCGGTCAACTGGAGGCCGTCACAGCCGGCGGCCAGCGCGAACCAGCGGTCAGCTGTTGGCTGTCCTGAGCTGGAGGCCGCCACGGCCGGCGGCCAGAGCGGACCAGCAGTTAGCTGTCGGCTGTCCTGAGCTGGAGGCCGTCTCGGCCAGCGGCCAGCGCGGACCAGCGGTCAGTTACAGGCCGTCACGGCCGGCGGCCAGCGCGGACCAGAGGTCAGCCGTCGGCTGTCCTGAGCTGGAGGCCGTCATGGCCGGCGGCCAGCGCGGACCAGCGGTCAGCTGTCGGGCGAGTCGGTACAGACGAGCTAAGTTACGACCCTCTAACGCCGACGCCGGCCCATGGCGGGCCCAAATCAAGGCCGAGGCTCACCGAGACGTATTGATGACGCCATTAGCCGGCTGATCAGGCGGCGCCGTCGACAAACGACCTGGCCAAAATGACGCACGGCGGCGGCTGCTAACGGCGGGGAGGGACACACGGTGGTGGCTGCTAACGGCGGGAACGGACACAGTGGCGGCTGCTAACGGCGGGAACGGACACAAGGCGGCGGCTGCTAACGGCGGGGAGGGACGCACGGCGGCGGCTGCTAACGGTGGAGAGGGACGCACAGTGACGGCTGCTAGCGGTAGAAACGGACACAGCGGCGGCTGCCAACGGCGGGAAGGGACACAAGGCGGCGGCTGCTAACGGCGGAGAGGGACGCACGGCGGTGGCTGCTAACGGCGGAGAGGGACGTCATGAGACGGTCCTCAGCTCAGTTTAGCTCAGCTGCTCAGCTCAGCTCCTCAGCTCAGCTCGAGGCCGACCTGACGACACGTCAGACCGCGAAACAAAGGCACCAGCACCAGCTGCACACTGCACCAGCTGCACACTCCACACTGCACCAGCTGGCCACAAGCCTGGTGCGGAGAGACGACTGTTGAAGCGCTGCTTTGCAGATTAGGGGAGCCGTCTAGACGACGGAAGTGGGCCATTCTGACGCAAATAACATTTAACTGCTGCCATCTTAACAAAGATCGGTTTTGGTTTAGGACGCTCTGCTCTCAGCTCAAGGTATGTCTCCCTCCCTCCACCAGACGCCACTTTTGGTAGTGAACCTACTTGCTCGTGCAAATATCGACAAATATCTGCATCACCGTCCGATAAGCATGAATATTTCAGAAAAAATACCGCCTTTTATCTCTGTTGAGTGCTTGTAACTCTGCCTTGTGCTCTCATAGCGTCTCTAAATAAAGCGCCGTTCCAGAGAACAGGGTCCAATCAGGAAACATCAGTGTTTGAACTAGCACCGCTTTACGCCCATAAATGAGAGCTAAAGTACGGCCTGAGCTCGAGGTCTGGTTTATGTCCAGGTCTATGAATAGCTGAACTGGGGTCAGCTGCCCAGTGCCCATATAGTCTCATGGGTGCCTCAGAAACCCACAACGGGATCAATGTTAGTGATTCCAACTCACTTCGCACAGCGATTCTGACAAGTGATCGAAGTGGAGCAATAATCAAATATTTTTGACAAAGTACTATCCATCCACCACTTACAGAGCGCCCATACATCAATTAGAGTAGACCGAGAACGCGAAGAATTCCTCTCACGCAGATGTACTCTTGTGAACTTGTCCGCTGCGACGTTGGTCACACTGACGGTATACGTCCGAACTGATGTCCAGCATACGCCGGTCACAGCGTGATGTCCAGCATACGCCGGTCACAGCGTGATGTCCAGCATACGCCGGTCACAGCGTGATGTCCAGCATACGCCGGTCACAGCGTGATGTCCAGCATACGCCGGTCACAACCTGGCGTCCAGCATACACCGGTCACAGCGTGACGTCCAGAGCGCGCCGGTCACAGCGTGACGTCCAGAGCGCGCCGGTCACAGCGTGACGTCCAGCGTAGGCCGGTCACAGCGTGACGTCCAGCGTAGGCCGGTCACAGCGTGACGTCCAGCGTAGGCCGGTCACAGCGTGACGTCCAGCGTAGGCCGGTCACAGCGTGACGTCCAGCGTGCGCCGGTCACAGCGTGACGTCCAGCGTGCGCCGGTCACAGCGTGACGTCCAGCGTAGCGCCGGTCACAGCGTGACGTCCAGCGTAGGCCGGTCACAGCGTGACGTCCAGCGTAGGCCGGTCACAGCGTGACGTCCAGCGTAGGCCGGTCACAGCGTGACGTCCAGCGTAGGCCGGTCACAGCGTGACGTCCAGCGTGCGCCGGTCACAGCGTGACGTCCAGCGTGCGCCGGTCACAGCGTGACGTCCAGCGTAGGCCGGTCACAGCGTGACGTCCAGCGTAGGCCGGTCACAGCGTGACGTCCAGCGTGCGCCGGTCACAGCGTGACGTCCAGCGTAGGCCGGTCACAGCGTGACGTCCAGCGTAGGCCGGTCACAGCGTGACGTCCAGCGTAGGCCGGTCACAGCGTGACGTCCAGCGTAGGCCGGTCACAGCGTGACGTCCAGCGTGCGCCGGTCACAGCGTGACGTCCAGCGTGCGCCGGTCACAGCGTGACGTCCAGCGTGCGCCGGTCACAGCGTGACGACCAGCGTGCGCCGGTCACAGCGTGACGACCAGCGTGCGCCGGTCACAGCGTGACGTCCAGCATACGCCGGTCCACGGCGTAACGTCCAGCATGCGCGGGTTCACGGCGTGATTGCTCCAGACCAATTTGTAACGTCAATAAGAGTTCAAGACCAACACGTGACCTCAGCCAGCCAGGAAAGGAGCTCCAGGGCATCAGTGACGGTCGGCTGCCCCGTGCAGCGCCCATTGCAGCACTGCTGCAAAACCCATGGCAGAGGCTTCACACTGCAGCACCGCTGGAGAACCCTCTGCAGAAGCTTCACTCTGCAGCACTGCTGCAGAACCCACGACAGAGACTTCTCCCATTAGAGGACAGCGGCACTATCTTCTGGCGCATCAAATCCCTGTTCGTATAGCACACATTCTGCTAAGCCTCGCCCATGGTATAAACGCAGTCCTGCTGCTAATGCAAACGCAATCAAGTCGTCGGCAACGACACAAAGTCAATTTTGCAGAGCTTCATTAACAAGATGATCGTGGTCACGTGGTTACAGCATCGATTCCCTATCCCTGCCAATCAACTGCGGTCCTAACGAGACATTTGATCCAAGGCAAATGCGGCCTGTGTGCCCGTTTACGGCTGATCGCCCCACTACCGCGCGCTGCACCGGCCTGTATATCGGTTCACTTTCACCGTGATCGTGTTCTTTGCAAGTGGACTCCATCGCTTGTTTAAATGTCGTACAGGTTTATGTAAAGGGCTCTATGAATGACTCATTTTGAGTTTCGACAATATCCCCGCAACACGGAGCACCAGTTTTACGTGAGCTTCCTCAGTTGTCGGCATTCTTAGTCGGAGTCATTTGCCCAGCAGTGGCCTCAGCACGCTGCTGACCACTGGCGGACCCCTGACCAGCAAACCCCTGACCAGCGCTGGCCCGAGACCGGCGGTCCTCGGCTCACCTGTCGGCCGCTGGCCCAGCGTCTTCATCATGACGCCCAGCTCGTTCATGTTGATCACCCCATCCTCGTCCTTGTCGAACAGCATGAACGCCTCCTTGAACTCTGCAACGACGGCAGAGCGGCGGCGGTCGGCCGCGTGTCCCCGGCGCCAGAGGGGAGGGGGGAGGGACCGCCAACCGACCAGCCGTGAACGACGGATGTCCTTCATCGGCCGGCGCCCGAAATACCCGGAACGGCGGCGCCCGGCCGGCAGCAGGGGGGCCGTCGACGCCGATGAATCGTCGTCGACGAGACGCGACGACCGGCCTGCGTTCGTCTGCCATTGGGACGGTGCCACCACGGCTAACGCTGAGCCACGGCGACAATGCGGTCGGCGCACGGGTGAAATTGGCGGACGCCACCAAGCGGCACGAGAGGGCGCGGGCGACGACGATGCATTACCGCTTTCAGCGTTACTTACGTCAATAAGACCGTCAGAAAACGAATGGAATGCGAACAACGTACACATTTTTAAACCCTCTGAGATGAGGGCCTCACAGCGCAGACGAGGCAGTTTGGTCTGGATTTATTATCACTTTGAAGTTAAAGCATTATGAACGATGCAATTACATGTCGAGCTAGAACGCAAAACCACTTCTAGTCGCCGCGTCCGCGGTTTACGACGGTGGGCGGTACTAGAATATAAACAGACTGCGTACTGGGGTGTAGCATATCTTTTCCATAGTAAGCACCCTCGTTTACAAAAAGATTCCAGTTAAACAGGGTCCCAAACGAATAGGAATTCATGGCGGTAGAATTGCAAAGGGGCTTTCGGGAAGTCTGCACCTGCACAAAACTCCGGCACTGGGAAAATAAATAACGAAAGCAACACCGTTCACCTGCGATGACTTGTCCCAAACGAGATCAAACTAGTTTGTGGACCGCCTAGCCAAAATAACCACAAAGGGCAATCACAATTCGGGTCCATGATCTTTCAAATCTGTTTACATTAGTGAGCCGTTGTCCCCCGTGTCTAGTGGTTATCAACATTACTTACATAATCCAGAGCTGTGCCGGCTCAGAGGCCGGTGATTGCTGTGATCTGTGAGTGACCGGTGTCAAGGGAAACCAAGTCGCCGGGCGACAGGGTAATATCGTGCCTGCTTAGTCCATCTGTCATAGCAAAAACCTGAGGAGGATCTGAGGGCGCCCGGCCGGCGCTGACGCGTGTAATTGCATTCAGTTCTCAGAGCTGGCTGTTCGCAGCCATTCACGGGCCATCTGAAACAGTCGGCAGAGCGGACCCGGCAACGTGGCTGCGGTCTTCTTGTCGTCCGCGACGTAACAACACGGCTCAAGGTAGTCTGGGCCAGAACTGGGACCACACAACGGCTTCAGACGGTCCGGGTCAGGACTGGACTGGTGCCAGACAGCAGTGCGTCCTGCTTGGCCCAGTCAGCCTGGGTCAGCCCGCTGATCCAGACAGCGATGTGTCCTGCTTGACCCAGTCAGCTTGGGTCAGCCGCTGATCCCATCACGTGACGTTCATGATCCGGCCAGCAGTGAGCGCCAGCGGTGGCGAGCCTAACTACCAGCGAGAGGGCCGTCGAGGCCCCGATCGCAGCCCGGTCATTCACAAACTTGCGGCTAAGGCCGGCTGGGTCAGCCGGCTGGGCCGTAACGATGCCCCTTGGGGGCCGTCTCTCTGTTCCGGGGCCCCGGGGCCAGGTGGTAGCCAGGATACCACTCGGGGGCCATTTCTCTCTCCCGGGGCCCCGGGGCCAGGTGGTAGCCAGGATACCTCTCGGGGACCATCTCTCTCTCCCGGGCCCCGGGACCAGGTGGTAGCCAGGATACCTCTCGGGTGCCATCTCTCTCTCCCGGGGCCCCGGGGCCAGGTGGTAGCCAGGATACCTCTCGGGGGCCATCTCTCTCTCCCGGGGCCCCGGGGCCAGGTGGTAGTCAGGTGCGCCGGTCAGGAGCCAGTCCTGCCCGCATCCAGACGCCGGGCCGCAGCAGGACGGCTCGGACCGCCAGATCGGCGCACTCTCAGCTGTTGGGAACTTGAGTTGGTCCTCTGGCGGCGCGTCTTATCGTGATGCGTCCTCGTGACGCCACCCTCAACCGCTGCCTCCCGGCGATCGGTGGCAGGCGGCTGAGTCAGGCGGAGGGGGGGGGGGGGGGGGGGGGAGGGGCGGAGTGGCCGCAGTGGCCGCGGCGCTGACAGCGAGTGACGCACCGCTGGCGGCAGCCCAATTAGTGCCGCACAGCCCCCGCCTCCGTCGCGTGGCAGCGAGCGACGCACCTGGCCGTCAGCTCCTCCGAGGACGGCGCCGACAGCTGGGCGAGATGAGGACAGGCCAACACACGCGGGGGCTCGAGGTGAGCGAAGTTACTCCGTTGCAGCGGAATACCGCTGGCGCGCTTTCCACGCTGAGCCTGCTCCCTCCATTGATTGACCTGAGGAGGCCTCCTGGTCCTAAAGTGACCGCTCACAGGCCTCTTACCAATCACAGCTGCGACTTTCTACCGGTCCGCGATGAACTCGTCTGGCCCTGCCACGGGGGTCCTTCAGCGGGGCTCGAATGGTCCTCCACTGGGCCGAGCGCGCCGCGCACGAGCGATTGATCCAATCATTCTGGGCTCTTGACGTGATGCCGCGCGGGGTTCGGTCTTCTGCGGGGCACATGGGCTTCTTTAGCGACGGACGGAAAACACGGAGCGTACAACTGTCACTCAGACAGAGAAAAGTTTTGGGAGAAACTTGGTGCCCGGCGACAGCCAAGGAAGCGCGACGTATTTTTAGCGCGCTTCCAAGGCCGTGGCGCCGCGTACAAAGCCCAACTTGCGGCACTCACTCTAACCCCGTTTGGCACTAGCGATGCCAACAACTGGGGGCCCCTTCCCAGAAAACCGATACGGTGAATGCTGAGGGCGATTTTTAGCGTTCGGTAATGTCTACGTCACTGTGGTGTGCTCGAATTGCGTGACCCTAGGTCACATCGGCAGCGTTATCGTTGATGCCGTTGGTCACGTGACACCTGACGAGACCAGATCCGGCCGGGCCAGCCAGCCCCCGATATTCTGAGAAGTCGGACCTGGAGCTGCTTAATTCTGGCGGCATCGCCGTCGTCCGTCTTCATGGGTTCATATCATACCCAGCGGATCACCCGTCACCCATCCTGACAGGCTTGCCCCCCTCCCCCCCCCCGCCTCCATACCTGCCACCAGCTCCTCAGTTAGGCCGTACTCCACCAAGTCGATGGTGACGATCAGATCATACTGCTGGTGACGACCCTTCTTGCCCTTCTTGCCCTTTCCGCCCTTGCCGTTGCCCTTCTGCGAGCCCTTTTGGGGCAGCGCCTTGGATGACTGTGAGCCCTTGCCAACAGGCTCAATCGACCCCGCCTTGGAGCGAGCCTGGAAACACGAGGGCACGGGGTCACTGGCCGGTCACCGCCGCTCGTCCGAACACGGGGGGACGGGGTCACTGACCGGTCACCGCCGTTTGTCCGAACACGGGGGACGGGGTCACTGGCCGGTCATTTCGTCCATTCGAACCAATCCGGTCGTCGCAAGCACAACCACTTTCCAGCTCACTGGCACGCGGTAGCACAAGGCACCAGAGCTGGGCGTGAGGATCATTGTACACCACATGGTCGTACCAAACAGATTTTACCAGTTCCGCTTCGGCGCGTCGGTCGTAGTTCGAACATGGCGCAAAACGACATGCTAAAACGAGGTGGGCAAGTCATAAAACCGAAGCCGAAGTGACAATTTCAGCCGATCGCATCACTGGAAGTTAGGCTTTGAGCGAACAATCGTAGCACTCATGTAAACTTTTAATGCCCGCTGCGGCATTCCCCGTGATGGCGAGTACACCACCGGGGTTTCGTTTACAGCAGCAGAGTGCACCACCAGTGTAATGCCATGAGGTCATCAAGGAGCCACATAAGTTTGCAATGCGACAAAATATGGAGGCGCACGGCCCCAGCGAGCTAGCTCCCTGTTGGGACGCCGCGATCCATTACGGGCCTTGTTTAACGGGGGCCAGAGGTGCAGCACATGATGAACAAATGGAGGAAGCGAGGCCCAGCCAGGAAGTCCTGTGCTGGGTTCCTGTGAGACATTACACGTCTTGCTTTAACGGGAATGATGAATGAATCACCTGATGAAGCTTGCAGGATAGCAAGCCCGGCGTCAGGCTCGTCTGCAGGGGTGCTGTGAGCCGTTGCAGTTTTCAGAGCCATATGACATATATATATATATATATATATATATATATATAACTGCATCAAAATCACTAAAGCAGATATGGCCTATGATTCACCAAAACAATGAAGGATATAACTCGAACAATGGAGCAACTCACAAGGAAATGATTGAATATACATTTGGCCATTTCATTTTTATAGTCAGTGTTTATCAGCTTAGCAAAGCGACTCCGCGACGGCCCACACACACACAATTTTCAAAATCACGTAATGTCCCACACTTGCTAATGTCGTGCAAATGACATGTAGAGCTGCTGGGCGCGGGAAGAGAAGGCATGAATCGCTAGCTCGCAGACCACACTGGTTGTGTGAGACACAAATCTAAATACCGGAAAATTTTCAACATACTTGACGGGTAGCGCGGGTTGGACTTTTTGTGTTTTCACCTGCACTTCCAAACTTGACATTTCACGCTCCATATATATATATATATATATATATATATATATATATATATACACACACACACACACACATATATATATATACATACATATATATATATATATATACATATACACGTTCACACAATACATATCAGCATGGAAGAATACAGTAGCTGTGAAGCCTGCAATACCGCGGACCAGGAACACTCATCCTCTGCTATTGTAGCGGTCCCCATAAGTGCGTTTACAAGCGGCCGGAGCGCGCAGCTGTCGCACCAGACGCCTGCGTGGCCGATTACGGCGCGCCGTTTGGCGGGATTTCGCCGGGAGCGGGGCTGGTCGGGACGGCCCGACACGGTCGGTCGCGCGGGGATCGGCCGGTGCGTGCGGGAGCGCTCAGGGACGGCGAGATCGGCCGGCACGTGTGAGAGGTGGGCCCGCGTCAGATGGGCCCTGCTATCGTGTGAACGGATCTACGGGCTGCGGTGAGACGAGTAAAGACCAGTGAACTGTCGGCAAGCAGAGCAACTGAACGCTGGTGATCGCTGGCTGGCGACCAACTGATGCTGCTCGACTCGACCCATGTGTGTAGGAGAGGCAGAGGGACAGCTCATTTCGGACTCGTAACGGCGCGACGGTACGTGATGATGCTACCTTACGAAGCCTGTTTTCTGTGGACCTTTTCTATGCGTGATAAGACAACGGGAGTCCGAAACGGAAGTTTGCTGCGGTGGGGCTAAACTAAGGGGTAAGCCTCACTAATACAATGGGGGGGGGGATGCCTCTTTAATGAGGACTAATCCGCTCTATGAAAAGTCGACTTGTTCTAACCAAGACCTAAAAATAAAGCCTCTAAATAATTTAACACAAGCGATAGACTATCACGAGTCAAAACTATGTAGATACCCTGAGAAATGAGACCAATTACAAGAATGCTTTTAGGCAATATTGCCACTAGTTGGATAAAATTGGATTTTTATCTATCAAAATATATCAGCTCAACCTTTCACTGCCCTACGCCTGAAGCCAATTCTACAGAAATGTACACTGGTCTCGACGGAAGGACGCCAAAAGCTTACAGAGACTTCTTGCAGAATCAACTCTTTTAGAAAAGTCGTATAGGCCCACAGCAAAACACGAATAGCATTTTAGCATCGGAGAGGAACGTAACTCACGTTGCCGAGCAGAAGTTCCTAATGTGGTGCTCGCGATCTTAACAGTTCTCAATCATAGCAAACGAGAGAATGAGCCATTCAAGCGCCGTATTCAGTCGGACCCCGCGAGCGGCAAGCCAAACAGCTGCCTCATCACAGGAGCTGGCCCCTGATCTTCTGCAGAACTGAAGGTCACGTATCAAGGTCAGGTATCAGCTTCTCGGTGCTGTGCGTAGTACATTGCGCTTAGTGTGGATACTACACAAGTTTGGATTGCCAACATAATGCTATTTGTAAGTATTTTGTTCATTTGCCATCTATTGTTACTTTTTACGTTAGTTGGTCAAACCAAAATAATGATATACGAATATGTTACACAGCTAAACAGCATAACATATCACAACATATCTTACCTTAAAACACACCAAACATCTCAACAATGCAGTTTAAGTAAGGTGGTATCAAGTTATTCATATTTTGAATTCCCATGTTACACCACGGTGACGAAACCAAGGGGGCCGTGGGCGTCATTTGCCCCCCCCCCCCCCCTCCTCTCCTTATCACGGAAAATTGTCGATGCGAACCTCCGGCTCCTGACCAACTGGCGTCTCATCGGACACCTCTGATGTCGGCTAGCCGCTTCATAAACACATCCTGACGTAACTGCTACCACACCACCCTACACACACACACACACACACACACACACACACACACGGAGGCGGCTAGCCGACACCTCTGATGTCGGCTAGCCGCCTCATAAACACATCCTGACGTAACTGCTACCACACCACCCTACACACACACACACACACACACACACGGAGGCGGCCAGCCGACACCTCTGATGTCGGCTAGCCGCCTCATAAACACATCCTGACGTAACTGCTACCACACCACCCCACACACACACACACACACATATATATATATATATATATATATATACATATATATACATACATATTTATAGGCATATATGTATATATGCATATATATATACATATATATATATACATATATATATATATATATATATATATATATATATGTATGCTGGGTTATTTTTGTCTTTTTATCATGTGAAAAAGAGCAAACAAACCCAGACGCACAAGCAGACAGGAGTTCTGATTGCCCGCAGATCTTCCCCAAAGTTCCCCCTCTGCCATCGCCATATGAGTCATGTGTGTCACCAAACATCGCCCGTGTATAGGATAATGCAGAAAAGAGGCGGTGACACTGTGATATGCTTGTTGGATGAGGTCGGCACAATCTTAGGCACATGAGGAATCCCAGCATTACACTTGTTTTGTGCACTTACGCTTTCTTAACGGTTTAGGAATTAATCATCAGAGGTTTTAAAGATCACGTCATGTGACAAACAAATATGCCGCTCGAAAATCCCATGTACTTCGCTTATTTTACCCGACTAACTCTGAATCGTAGAAATGTTTCAAGGCAAGTTGATCGTATTTCGGTCATTTACATTAAAACCTGTCGCGCATGTTTTACATTACACTGGGATGGATGGCGTCCTGCTTCCACGCTAGTTTATCTCCGATTGTTTTTTATTTTCTGGCACCGACTGCGTTTTTTTGGCGTAATTAATGGTTTATACCACTAACATTTGTTTGAGACATCTTCCGAGCTGATCCGTTGGTTAGGTTCTGAATAACAAGGGGAGGAGGGTGCGAGGGGGGGGGGGGGCGGAGAAAGCCTCCGCGCAGGTCTACATAAATCGCCGGATGCCTCAGAGGGCCCAGTGTTATCAGTTTAACAAGAAGGAACAAATTGGTACCGTGTTCACTTCCCACCGCTTCCCACCCATCGTTAGCAGGGTGCAGGTCATGCAGGACGAATCTGTGTGCTGCTCCGCGAGCGGTGAACGTACGGGTCTCCGCTGAGCGGCGCCAGCGTCGCCGTCGGCCGGCGGCGGTACGGCCCAGCCGGGCTCATCCGGGCTAGCCGACCGGTTGCCCTGCCTCTTCAGCCGCTGCTCCAGCTTGAGGTCGAGTCTACTGCGCGTATGGCGCATCAGTGATCCCAGCACGCCGGCCATGCTGTCGCCGGGCCCGCGACACCGAGACAGACACACTGGACCGGACACTGGGCTGGACCGGACACCGAGCCCGTGCTGAAGCTGCGCACACACCGGGCGGCCAGCTGCAGGGCAGGACATCTTATCTGAGGCACAGCGATCTGGGCCGGACGGCGGCCGCCACTGGGCTAGTTGTAGCCGTTGTCATTTGAGTTACTAACTGGCGTAGCTGGGGTGGAGCGAATCTGCTGGGAAAAGGTTGCGGGACAAGCCGAGCAAACCTCTGGGAACGCAGAGGGCTTCAGTTAAAGAGGACGGGAGAACGGCCCATTGGGCCGTTTGGTGAGGCAAGACTGTGACAGCTCTAAGCCCAGCCAGACATGGTAAGACTCTCACCTGACCCTGACACCCGAGTGGGCTGCGTATCGTCTCTCGGCTCTTGTCACTCTTCAGAACATCAGCAGCCCTAATTGGTTCCACTCTCCCACGGAGATAGAGGCAATTTACATCGCAAGGGTTCTTAGTCCCGAGGCAGTAGCTTCTCGGACGAAGTAGTGCCTTCATTTAT